TTTTTTTTTTTTCCTGTCGTTCTGTGGTTAGTCTTGTTTCTTGTTCTGCCGCCCACATCTATTTCGTTTTTATCCTTTTTTTTTGTTTTATTGTTATTATTATCATTTTTTTTACTGTTTTTCGGTAATAGTCTGCTAAGTGATGGTTCGTGCTGCTGGTTGGACAACAGAAGGAAATAATGAAACGGAGCAAAAGTTGATAGATCCAGAGAGGGGGATAAGTTTTATACAATTTACTGAGGTTTTGAAAGCCGGTCATAGATTGCATGATTAAATGCCATTTGTGGAAATTTTTTTTGATGATCTCAGTAAGATGAACACAGAAGAACGAGAAGAGAAGGAAAGGCAGAGAATAAATTAGAAATTAGTTTATACTTCTCCTTTTATTTCACCGCATAAATGCCCAAAAAGAGGAGGAGAAGAAAAAGCAGAAGGAGAAGTGTTAAAATTAAGGTTGAAATTTACGGTCTGTACAGGAGAAGAAAAGATGAGTTGTTGGAGAGTGAAGGCATTATGCGTGTGTATGTGTGTGAGTGTGTGTGTGTGTGCGTGTTGCAGTTCACCGATGTACTGTGGTTTCCTCCAGCATTTAATGAAGAGAGGAAACATGGGTATGGCGGTGAACATCTAAGAGGAAATTAGGGTAATGACAACAAGTGACTATAGCTGCCGTTTGTAGTCGTTGTTTAAGCGTATCCAGTTGCGCATATCTAGAACTTTGCTTTTTAATGTGACATTTTTTCTTTACTGCTTTTATGAAAGAAATGTATATTTTTAATCGTTTTTTATTTTTTAAGAGATCTTCAAATCGATCCGGAGTAATTGATGGTTCACCGGTCAGGATGTAGTCTTTTTGAGGAAATTGACGCGCAAATTTTCTTTTGTTAAAAATGGTAATTTATGGTAAATGATGAGATGCACTTTTTGACAATAAAACATTGTTACACATAATAAATTTTTTTTTTTTCTTTTTGCTCTTTTCTTTTGCTTCGTTCTTGTTTTCTGTTGGCTGTCGATGACGATGTTGTTGCCGCAAATGATGACGATGATGATATAGATGGTTTTACCATCTCAATGTTCTCTAAAATATGATTTAATTTAAAAAAGAAAGGAAAAGGCAGCGTTAAATGCAAGGTTTTTTTGACTTTTTAAAAGGTTGTACTTTATTGGTAGTCAAGCTTGTCTTCAACTTTCAATTATCACTTCAGTACTACCGTCGTTGTTGGTATTGTTAACTGTGGTGGTAGTTTGCTTAATAAGAATCACGTGGCTACATAGGAGCTGAGGGCTACTGAACTGTATCAATGGAGTTTCTGAAGCAGTTGGTCTAAAGATCAATGTGATAAAGTTGCGGCTGAGGTGAAGACGGGGATGGGGAGAGGGGGCTTAGAGGGATGTGTTGCGATAGTTGATATGTTGCATTCGTTACTACCGGTGGTTATGTGTTTGTTTGTTTGTGTGTTAACTGCTGCCAGAATTTGCCTATCTTGCCCGCCCGGAACGCAGGTACACTGGGTTATGCCACCTGTGTCCGGTGAAGGTGAAGGGTGAAGTTTTTTTTGATTGCTATTCATTAGGAAATTGTCATTTGGTCAATCGTCAGAGTCCAGATGATTTTTATTCCTTCTCTTTTCCCTTTCAGTTGTTCCGATCATCACAGTTCGACGATCAATGTTCAGTTTGAATTCAAAGGATTTGTTACATTAAATTAAAATAGTGTTCAAATAATTTGAAAAGTCATGTTTTTTTCGTGAATTTTCCAGCATCTCTCTACGTATTTGTGTTTATTTTGATTTAGAAAAGGAGAAAGACAAGATAAATATGCCGTTAACAGTAGACCATATATTAATTAATGTGTAAAACAAAAGAATACTTTGGAAAATATTTTTTATTACTTGCTGACGTTACTGCTGTTGTTTTCACCTTCTCTTCGCCTTTTACATGGAAATTATTTTATGCTTTAAAAAATCGAAGTAAAAAGAAAAATTATTTTATTGTTGTTAAATGAGGGAAGAAAAGGAACAGTGGAAAAAAACAGGGGTATTTTTCGTCCTTTTGAAACAATTTATTCCGGTTAACAGTTTCAAATAGTTGCACACAATTGTTGCTCAGAGTGGGCATGGTGCTTCATTTCTTTTTTCAATTTTTTTTCCATCATTGTAGATGTTGTTCGACTGGTTATCTATTTTTTATTTCGTTTCGATGCCTATTTATGCATCGATGAATGGATAGATGACACATATACACACTCCCTCTGTACAAATATCTGCTCACATTCATCTGTTTCTTTTTTTTTTTGCATCTTAGAGAAGCTAAATACGACCTGCAGCGGGGGGAGGGTGGGGGGTGGAAAAGTAAAAAAATGAAAAAAAAATGAGAGTCTTATTTGTAGATGGAAGACTGTAGGGCAAAAGATGGAGGGAATTGAAAGGGGTTGGGGGAAAAACAGAGGGTAGAAATTTTTTGCTTCAACATCGGGTTGCATGGCTTGCTTGCTCGGTTGTTGTTGCCTTCGTGCTGCTGCTGATGATGATGGTGGGGCAAATTTACAATAAGGGGAGAGACTAAGGCCATTGTCAAACGACGGCAGCAGCAACAGCATCCCAACAAATGGCAGTAGTGATCGTTGGTTGGCCAACTGCCATGTTTCCTTTTGAACCCTTGGCTGTCGTCTACGGTGACCGCCACCAAACCCATAACAACATTACAGTCTTGCTTGGCCTGCCGCTCTCGTTTCCCGTTGCCAAACACATAGATACACTGAACACACATAAACCACGCACACATACACGAACACCGACATACCAATTTACTCCTAATTATAGATTTACTCAGCCATCACTTT